GGGTGCGCCCGCGGCGACCCGCGCCGCCGGGGCTGGGTTGCTGCCGCCGCCTCGCCCGCTCCCCCGCGGCCCCTTCTCCCCGCTTTTGGGCTGAGCCGGGGCTGGGAGAGCAGCCTCCCACCCCGAGCCCCCGGCGGGGGGGCTCCGGAGACCCGGGACATCGCCTGCAGCTCCGCGGGGAAGTTTCGATCTTGCGACAGAATCGGCATTTTGGGGAGCTTTTGTGGTTTTTTTTGTGGTTTTTTTTTTTTCTTCAGTCTCCGTTTTCCTTTTCCCTCTATTATTTAAACGACAGGGAAACAGCCCAACTCCAAGCCCGTTTTGCTCCCCCAGCCTGTTTTTATGGCCACCCTCCCTTGCCTGCCAGAGACACTTACGTTTCCTCCTTGGGTTATAAACTTTTGATGCCAGATCTCCGCAGCGCGTGCCCAACTGAATCTTAAAGTAGCGTCTCGAGCAGACACACATCTGTGACCTTCATCTCTTGCTCTGCACCTTCTCTCCTCCTCTTCCTCCTCCCCCCCCCGGCCCTCCCGTCCTCCTCCCTCACCCAAGGATACTGGGGACTCCCTCCGGATGCCGCTCGGCAGGCTCAGTGCTCGCAGGCTGCCTTGCCGGGGGCTCTCCTGATCTCCGTGGAGCTCCGCATCGCTCGCCCCGGTGGTTTTGCTCCCCTCCATCCCCACACACGCACCCCTTCTCTCCTCTTCCCCCCCCCTTTTCGCTCCTGGTGGCCTTGTCGGGTGTGTTTTTTGCCTGTTGGAAAAGTCCCTGCTGCCCAGGATGGGGGTCGGTGGGTGCTTAGCCCTGCCCTGGAGGTGCCTAGTCGTCCTCTGTCTCAGGCTGCTCTTCCTTGTGCCCGCAGGAGTGCCCGTGCGCAGCGGAGATGCCACCTTCCCCAAAGCTATGGACAACGTGACTGTGCGGCAAGGGGAGAGTGCCACGCTCAGGTAGGAGCAGCTGGATTTCTGCCTTGGGGGGCATGGGGGGGTCCTGGCTGCGGTTCTCGGGGGATGCTGCGTGCCGAGCGAGGCTGCCGGAGGGTCGTGGGGCCGGCTGGAGACTTCGCATGCGTCCCAGGGGCTTGTCCCCATCGTGGCAGGGGACACCCCGTCAGAGCGGTTTGGGGGGACCGATGTGCCGGCGCTGTGTGGCGGGGAGCGGGCTGCAGCGCGGGGCTGGCAACCTCCCGTCGGTGCTGGCGGGGGGCTGCGGGTGCCAGACGAGGAGCTGACAAAGGGGCTTAGGTGGCAGACAGTGAGTTAGCGCTGCCTGGCGCTCCCAAAGTTGTCTCCGTGCGTGTGCCTGTGTGGGAGGGGAGGGGGGGTCCGCACTGCCTGCGCCGATGCCAGCCTGCATTGCCAGCGGGTTTCCAGGGCTGCGATGCCTCCGAGGTGTCAGTGTTTCGCCTTGATCACTTTATAGTCTCTGCACGCATCTGTTAATATCAAATCAATCTTTTACTCCAGGGGTGCGTCTTATGAATTCTGATGGATGCTTTTACCTTACGCTGTTTGCTGTAGGAGAAATGCAGGCAGCTTATATGCAGATGGGCTACTTCTATGCTGCACGATACAGCAGAGCATCCCTTTTCATTCCCTGAATGAGTTACAGGTGTACATGGTGCATTACCCGTGTAGGACAGCAGCTCTCAATAGGCATCGCAGCAGCGTGGCCAGATGAGCAGATAGCAGCCCAGCCTTTTTCGGAAGGCAGTGGGGAGTCAGCTCACGTCCAGGGCTTTGGGTCGTGCTGTGCGTGCTTCAGGCAGCCCAGGGAGGACCTCAGCTGGTTAATCCGGCTGGACAAGCAGCCCTGGGACTTGAGGAAGAAGCATGGGGATGGTGGGACGTGAGTCGGGAGGAGTTAGTCTGCTGCTTTCTCTGCAATAGCGAGCAGTGTGTGTCCCCGCGCGAGGCTGGCTGCTCCCTCGGTCAGACCCGGAGTAACAGGGCTGCAGCAGAGAGCAGCTGCTCTTCCCAAAGCTAGGCATAAGGCTTGGCATAAGCAAGCTGAGTGTGTCATGCTCTCTGTTAGCAGCTGAGCCGTCGCAGGGATGATGAGCTTGTGCCGGTTCGAGCAGAGGGTGCTCTGCTTGCCGGGATGACGGAGGCATGGGGGGTCAGGCAGGCTTTCCGCGGCTGGCACGGTCTTTGTAGAGGGGAAATGTTCGGTGCGTAACGTGGTGGTGGGAAACAGGCTCTGGCTCGAGGTGTGTGCTGCTGAGAGGCGTTGGTCGCTTGTCTGCCTGCCTCCCGCCACGGCGCCTGCTGGACTTTGCCATGTTGCCTGTACCAGGTGCATCCTTATTCCTCGGTCCCAGGCAGGGACCCGCTTGTCATCACCCCGTGTCCCTGGGGGCCGTGGCACAGCAGGGGAGCAGAGGGCACGTTTCCTTGTGCTCTTCATAATTGAACTGCGACAATGATTAACCTGAGCTGGAGTGAGCAAGGCAGTTAAAGAAGAGAAGACAATCCCCCAGAGAGATTCCTTTGGCCTCGGTGCTCTTTTCCTTGCTTTCTGAATTTGTCTCCCCGGTGAAGCGTGGGGTTTGGGGCTCTCCAAGGCAATGCTTGTGGAGGTCAGAGCAGGATGGGTGCCTGCTGTGGGTGGGCTGTGCGGGGGGCTGAGCCCCTTCCCCGGGGAGCCCCGCAGCTCCGGTGCCGGCCGAGCCTGCTGCCAGCAGAGGGCAGACTTGGATCTCTTTTTTTTTTTTTTTTTTTTTTTTTTTTTTTTTTTTCTTTCCAGCTTCTGGCCTCTTTTCTGTGCTGTTTGTGAGAGGCGATGTTTGTGAAGCATCTGGCCCCGGAGCAGTGGGGGGTATTTTAGCCTTCCTGTAAGAAACTGCATCCCCTGGTGGGACTCCGAGTGCTGGCACACAGAGGAAGGCTCTGCCCCAAAAGCACTTGTTCTCTACCCATTTCCCCCCTTGGCATCTGCTCCTGCCCAGGCTCTCCGGTGCATCTTCTCCATGCTCTCACCCCCTCCCTTCTTCTCCTGAAGTTTAGCTTTTCCTTGCTGCAGTCAGATTTCTGGCCTCCAGCTCCTATTTGCCCTCAGTCTGCCCCATCTCTTCTTGCATTGCGGTTCCCCAGCGTTCCCCCTCTTCTCTCCCACCCCTGTTTCCCTGCTCCTGCCCCTCTGCAGCCTCTGGGTAGCGAGCAGCTTGCTGTCTTCCCTTGGGGTCTGGAGGTGGGCAAGGCATTACACACAGCAGCCCAAAGGCAGAGCGTCTCGAGGATGCGGCTGGTATTTCTTTGCAGGCTGCAATACCCTGTGGAGAGCTAGGAAGGGGAGACTGCCCTCGACAGTCTTTCCCCATGGGTGATGGCTTGTGGTAGATGGCTAGCACAGGGCCCGGATGGGGTTTTCTCCCGGCAAATAGTCTGTGCACCCATAGTAGGAGCAGATGTGGTGTCCTCTGCTGTCCTCCCTGCAAAACGGCACTTGTCTTGCGGCTCAAACCGAAGAGAGCGGAGGAGTTGGGCCTTGAGAAACTGAGACCCGTAATTGCAGCTCATTGCACTTGCAGAATCAGCCGCAGTCCTGCTAGGTCTGGAGGGGCCAGGTCCCCTCCCATCCTGCTTCGTACGGGGCTGCGTTCTGGTCACGAGTTGGGCTGAGCCTGCGAGTCTCCCTGGCTTCGGCAGGGCTGATGGAAGCTCTTTGCTTTCCAAGATCAGCTCCTTAACCACACATTGCGTTGCAGAAAGGAGGAATGTGAGAGAGCAGAACCGCATGCCAGTGGTGGAGGAAACCTGGAGGCTTTTCAGGCTGGTTGTGGTTTTCCTGTATTGGATTTTGGGTGCTTCCATTTCCATCTCTCCGCCCTTTTTCCGAGGGAGGCTCAGCGTAATCCTTGCAGAAACCAAGGCTCCATCTACAGGCAACTTCTAGGTCATCTTAGATCAGCAGCAAAAGATTCCCCTGTTTTAAGCAGAGATTGTTGATAATTCACTATTTTTTATTGTAAGAACAAACAATTCCTGTAATAGTCATGCACCTTTCCTCCCCGGGGAACTCAAGGCAGTTTGCAAATTCTCTGTGCACTATTAAAGAAAATAAAGCTGCCTCTTACCTGACTCTGAAATATAAAACCTTCTGCCGTGAAGCAGAGCAGGTGTTTAGATGGCAGCAGTAACCCGTGTTAGGCACCAGTTTGGGACACGAAACGGAACAAGGAGCACACTGGTAGTGGACAGGGAAGTTGAAGAAGGTCACTTTTTAATTTCCCAGCTGGGATTTGATGTGGAAACAAGGATTAAGTCTCTGCTTTTGGGAAGAGTGCCACCGAGTCTCAGCTTTCTACGCACGATGCTTCTTGGATGCATGCCCTGCGAGCCGCGGGGCACGGGCATCCATTGCCCAGGTTGCTCTGGGGGCATTGCTGGCAGGTTCCCAGCACGGTTAGCAATCCCAGTGGCCTGACCCCAGCTAGAAACCTTAGGCTGTGTTGTATCCCAGCTGCATCGCAGCGGTGGAAGCATCTTCACCATCGCAGAGGGCTGCCAGAGTGCAGAGGCGATGCAGGCAGCGGCTG